TCTCTAAAAACCCGACTTCCCTTCTCGACGCACCGCGTAGCTGTTTTGGATGTGTCGTGTAGATCTCATAGAAACCATAATCGATAAGGGTTTATGATGGTGGGTGTTGTGGTGGTTTCCAATATTGTTGATATGATCTTTGGGTGTGACTACATCAGAGAGATTTTATTTTGGATCCTAACCCATCCAATCAACTAGCTAGAATGCGCAAATTAAAGGCTACAAATATATGTTCTTTTACCCTTTTCTATGGTTGACTTTATTGCTTTAGATTGGTTGAACATGGATCCCCTATTGGGTTCATGAGATCTATTTTAAATGCTTCAGATGTGCGCCTTTGTGGCCTTTAGATCCCTCATTGACCAACAGTTTCAACGGTGTTCTTTCATGTGGAGAGAATGGGGGAAGGGGATGTGGGCTCCATTACTATTAATATTAACACAAAATAATGCGATTTGTCCATGTGCTTTGCCAAATTAGGGTACTTCAGGACAACTATCAGAACTCCTACGCGCTTGGTTCCTATGGTTTATTTTTCTTACCCGTTTGGTGAAATTAACTTTTTTTTATTGATTATATGGAGAAGGTAATAGCAAATGGGTTATTTATTGTATTAATAACATAAATGAACTTTTGGTGGTGATTGGTGTCTTTGGTGCCTTCTTGGTCAAAGAGATAAATTAGACATAACTAAGGTAAGGGAGAAGGGTTATTAATAGAGGCAAAGAGTCATAGTTAGAGACAAATATTATTTTCCATGTTTTGTAATTCCTATATGTTTTTAGAGTTGATACAACTATTATTAATCCTTTATATGGACCTTCAACAACAACTCGAGCATGACTGCAGAAGAGTATAACACAACTTGCGCTGCATTTTGGGGACGAGATCCACAACGTATTCCTCCATATCAAGAAATAAGGACCAAAATGATACATGATTTGCAGGGGATTCATCCAAGTGCAGTACAAGAGCATTGGGTTATCCTCACAAAGAAAATGAGAGTGGCAATAAGGTAAACATGGTCGTTGATACTGTCTTGTCAAGGTACAAGAAAAAAAAAACAAAAAAAAAAAAAAAAAAAACAAAAGACCGTCAATCCTTATATTGTTGGGCATAGGAACTTATGAGCTTATGTTTGTTCTTGGTTGTGTTGTTTTTGTTTTTGTATGATATTGGTTGTTTTAGTATTTTGTTAAACTTTACTCTGAATGTTATGGATTAGTTGGTACATGTTTGAATAAAATTGTAATGTCATTTGTGTTGTAATGGTAATTGTTGTTTGCATGAAATGGTACTTGTTTTTGTAATTGTACTTCACATGAAATGGTAATTCATTTTGTTCATTCATTCTGAAATGGTAATGTACTTTCATTGTGAAAGATGGTGTGGTCAAATACATTGTTTATTTAAAAGTTTAAATACATATAAATATGCAAAAATTAAACAATTGTAAATACTTAGAAGTGCGAAAAAATGCAAATAAAAAAACAAAAAAAAATTACTTTTTGCAAAAGGACCCTAAGGACAAATTTATAATAATAATAAATAAATAAATAAAAAATCATACGGACCAGGATTACTTTTGGATTCCAATCATGACATGCATTCACATTTCTAATGATATCTATTTAATTAACTATGCTGATGTAAACTTATCACTTTTTTCATTTTTCTGTAATTATTAATATCACAATTACAATACCTCATTTTCTCTCAAACTAATAAATACAAATCAAAACCAAACATATGGAATTTAGACCACCATTTCCGCTTCTCTAACACTACTAGGAATTCCAACATCTAACCTCATTGTCCCCTTATACTGTTCCGGCACGGCGGCACCACCCTGCACACACATCTCCACCACCGCCGGAGCCTGACCATAGAAGTTCCTCAGCTCCTTCTGCAACAAGGGTTCCGCCATGTTCGGGACATGCCACACGTATCGTGGCGGTATCAAGTCATCAAGAACCGCCGACTGCCACCCGTGTTGCCCATTCCGTTGCTGATGCTTGTAGGCCCCACAGTTCTGTGCTTTATGACCCGTGGGACCCACATGGATCTCCGGGCAGTACCCACAAACTCTCACCGGGTACATCTTCATCAACCTTTTCGCTCCTCCCCTCATTTTCTCCCACATTTTGAGTGTCTCTTCTGCAAGTAAACTCGTCTCCTCTTCATTACACGGTGCCACAATCTCCCAATCCGGTATTTCGGTAACTAACTCCGGAATTGGTGATTCCGGGGTTGGATCCGGGAGTTCGCTTTCGTCGGCATCGATGAATTCGCTTTTACTGATACGGATTATGGGTTTTCTTCTTCGTTTTGTGGGGTATTTTGGTAATTCGACTCCTGCTTGAATGCATAGCTCAATTAAAGCCGGGATTCGAGGGACTGAGAATCTTTCTTCATGTGGGATACGTTTTCCTAAACGATCGTAGAGGTGGTAGGCTTCAATTTGGACGATTATGTCCTCCACAATCGCATCTACCCACTCATGTTTTCCCTTCCGAATTGACGAATTTTGCCCTTGACATGACCTAAATGGATGGCCTATAGGTCCAACATGTATTTCATTGCAATACCTATCAAAAAAGAAAAAGATGAAACATATCAACTTTAAAACAAATAGTACAGACTGTACAGTACATGACATGACATGACAGTATATAATATGACAGTATTACTTGCAGGCTTGTACTGGGACTACTTTCAGTAGCCTTTTGAGATTGTTAATCAATGAAGTTCTTGCATTCAACACTGCATATGCAAGAGGAATCATGCTTTGAACAAGCAACCCGTTTTTAGGAGGTGGAGGGCCGCCTCTTTTAGGTTGGCCTTTGCTGCTCTTCATCCTCTGCCTGGCAGCTCGCCGGAGCTCCACAATTGGTACAGGAAATGGCTTCTTTTCTTTTTTGGAATAGTAACGTGGCAAATCAACATTTTGAGGATTATTACTGCATCTAATTACTAATGATTGTCTCGATTTCTTGCCACTATACTGTAAAAAAATAGTGGAAATTATCATTCGATTTGCAACACAACAACAATGGTTAGTCTGCAGTTGGAAATCCAAAAATTATTATACATAATTACATATGACTTACCTTTGAAGAATCAAGAAATTTGAGGCTTTGTGATGGATTGGATCTCAAAATTCCCACTTTAGGAGGTATAATTCTTTGGCTACATGAAAGGAAAGTAGTTCCCAACTCAGGAGAAACCAAACTGGAACTCATATCTGTTACTGAAAGGAAACATGTAAGATCATGATTAATACATATATACATAGTAACAGCATATTAATTTTCTCTTCCATTATTGTGCTGATGAGAAAAACTAACTAAAAATAAACTAGAATGTGATAACTTTGAAAGTTTTGATGTTGTTACTGTGTATATATGTATTAATCATGATCTTACCTGCTGTTTCCTTTTAGTAAAGGATATCTTCAAAATCATATATTAATAGACGACTTAATGGAGAAAAACAGAAAAAGAAACATCATTCAAATCGCAACACCATTTACAAAGGCGACTTAAAGGGGAGAACCAGAAAAGAAGGGTACTGGTGTTAATGTATCTCAAGAAAATAACTGCTCAGGAAAAAAAAAAGGGAAGAAACACCAGCCAAATCACAAACTATGTCATTCAACGAGGTATGTAAATTGCTCAGTACAACACTTTCCAAGTCACAAACTACTTGTCATTCTTGAATCTTGATAACCAGATGGTTATCACAATGTTGTAGCATACCTGCGCATCAAACTAGTACATGTTCCTTCACATATACGCTAACACAACCAAGATGCAATCAAAACTCAATTTTAACGAAGAAATGTGGGTGATCATACAATAGAAGTAGAAATTGACGAAATAGAAAGAAAAAAAAATGGAAAATAGCAAACCATACGGTAGAATTAGAAGTACAAACGAAATACAGTAGCAAAAGGAATAACTCGGAAGTCGGAACTACACACAGTAGAAAAAAAAAAAAAAAAAAAAAAAACCTCTTGAAATTCGAAATCCGTTGTGCACTGCTTGGTGCTTGCGTCTACGCTTCTTCCTAAGCTTCTTCCTCTTTGTCAAATAGAAATGGAGGATGAAAGGGACTGTTTTGAGCGGAGGAGACCGGCCAGTTGGGGTGGCTGGAGTGTGGTGGACCGATGGCGATTAGGGTTTTAGGTCGTGAGTAGTACGTGACGCCGTGGGTGGGAGGCGAGGCGATGGATGGGAGGGAAGGGGTTCTCGGGGATTTTATCCACACACCTATAGACCTGTTACACACTTACACTAGGGAGGAAGTGAATGTAAACAACTTGTGAAAGATGACGTAGCCTGTATCAGTGTATCACTGTATCTATCTCTTTCGTTTCTTTTGGCCTCCATACATTTTTTTTAAAAAAAAAAAAAATCGTTTGTTTAACTTTTTTTTTAATGAACCGTAAAAAAAAATTAAAAGGGCAAGGAAGTTTCAAAATGGTTCAAAAAATACATTTTTATTTGTTTAGAAAAGATCATCCAACTAATATCTTTGTACAAAAAAACATCATCCAATATTACATTTTGTTCAGATCTCACCCAATGGTAACCGGCAACTGTCGGTTACAACAAAAAAAAAAATCTGATCAAATTAATTAACGGAAATTAATAAATGACATGGCATTTATTTTTATTCTTATATGGATTTAGGGGGGAAAGAAGTCGATTTCTACAATCCTTCTTCTATCAAAATCGTTTAACGGGAGGAATCAGAGATCCCTCTCTAGGGTTCGTTTCTACATTCTATCCAGCAACTCTCGCTTAAATCAATTTCCACAGCCTTGGTGACACCAATTCTTCCTCGGCGTTGGTGACATCGAGTTCTACAGCAAGAATGGTGTTCTCATCTGAAGGTACACTTAGTATAGATGTTTACCACAAAGGTACTTTTGTTCCTAAGCCTTTTATTTACTTCTCACCTCAAAAGACTTCTGTTACGGGGATTGACTTAAAAACATGGAGTTTAAGGACTTCATTATCTACCTCCGGAATTTGATAAAGGATAAATCTCATGATATGTATTATTGTCTTCCAAATCGGGCCATAATAGATGGGTTAAGAGAGCTGAGAGATGAAGACTATTATGTGAGGTTTCTTGATGTTAGATATAGTAATGATTGTAAAATCAGTATCTATATTGATCATTACCACGAGACAATTACAGAATGGATTGAAGAAGAGAAAGTTGAAGAAGGGGACACTGTTAGTGATATATGTGAAGATGATGTGGACTCGGTCATGGCAGATGATGTGTCACTGGACCATGAAGCTGACGATGAGATTCTTGAAATTCCAAAATATGTTGATCCTTTTTTGTCCCACAAAAATCCTATTCCAGAAGGAAGGGTAGAGGATGAAGCTGACGATAATGTGTCATAATTTCCTATTCATGATCCCAACTAGAAATGGGACACAATGGTTCCCATATTAGGTATGAGATTCTATGACCGGTATGAATTGAAGCAAATGATAACGAATTATGTTGTATTTAAAGGTTATGCATTGTGGTATGAAAAAAAATGACTCAACTAGATTGTTAGTGAGGCGTTGTAAAAATAAGGAAGGAAATGCGTCCCTTTTAGACTATGGGCTACTCCGTTGAGTAGTGAAGATTCATTCCAAATCAGATCACTAATTAATGAACATAAATGTTGGAGAGCACTAGAGCAGTGAACTTGGTGTCTATTATGACATACAAGTGCATTGGTAAAATGTTAATAAATCACATTTTGGAAAAACCCGATTTAGTTACACGAAAATGGTAGCATTAGTGAAGAAAAACATTGGTCTCATTGTAAGTGTTGGTATTAGAAATAATTCAATACAATTAGATTATATTTGATTTAAGTTTTAAATCTCTATATGTATGGCTAGTTAGTTACGATATGTTGTATTTGTGTACTATATATACCATCAATATACAACCTATAATTTTAAGGAAAAATCAATAACTCTTAGATGGTATCAACCTTATAAACGATCCCAACCCTAAAATTCCCTCTTCTTTTCTATGGTCGGCAGCTCATCAGAAACACCCTTTTCTCTCGCTACTATTCTTCATCTTCTCATGGTGAAGCTCAATTCCACCGATTACCTGCTTTGGCGAAATCAGGTCCTTCCCTTCTTGTCTTTCCAACAACTTGTTGATCATGTTGATGGAACCCTAGTTGCTCCTCCAGCGACAATTGAAGTTGAGGGAAAATCTGCCCTCAATCATGATCATGTAGTGAAGATTCATTCCAAATAAGATCATTAATTAATGAACATAAATGTTGGAGAGCACTAGAGCAATGAACTTGGTGTCTATTGTGACATACAAGTGGATTGGTAAAATGTTAATAAATCACATTTTTGAAAAACCTGACTTAGTTACAGGAAAATGGTAGCATTAGTGAAGAAAAACCTTGGTCTCACTGTAAGTGTTGGTATTAGAGATAATTCAATATAATTAGATTATATTTGATTTAAGTTTTAAATCTCTATCTGTATGGCTAGATACTTACGATATGTCGTATTTGTGTACTATATATACCATCAATATGCAACCTATAATTTTAAGGAAAAATCAATAACTCTTAGATGGTATCAGCCTTATAAACGATCCCAACCCTAAAATTCCCTCTTCTTTTCTATGGTCGGCAGCTCATCAGAAACACCCTTTTCTCTCGCTACTATTCTTCATCTTCTCACGGTGAAGCTCAATTCCACTGATTACCTGCTTTGGCGAAATCAGGTCCTTCCCTTCTTGTCTTTCCAACAACTTGTTGATCATGTCGATGGAACCCTAGTTGCTCCTCCAGCTACAATCGAAGTTGAGGGAAAATATGCCCCCAATCCTGAATTTCTTACCTGGAAAGAGGTTGATCAAAAAGTCTTTCTTATTCTATAATCTTGTCACACCCCAAAACCGGAACGGCGGAAACGTTCGGAGGTGGAGGACGTCATGTTTAGTATCACAAGTCATGAATCATAGTAATCAAAGTAATAAACAACCATTTCATTAGAAAGAAAGTGTTTACAAAGTATGTGATTCACATAACATAGAATACAAAGTAAATAACAAAAATAAGACATGAAGCTATTATGCTCCATCTTCTGAATCCCAGAGCGTGTACTTGTCTATTGGTCTCCTGAGAATACAAGTTATTTTGAAAGCGTAGATCAGCATTTAAGCTGGTGAGTTCATAAGATTTCAGTGATGTAAGTAAGTTGTAAGAAAGTTGTAGTAAGTTGTAAGAAAGTTGTAGTAAGTTGTAAGTAAGTTGTAGTGAGTTGTAAGTTCTTTTAGAAAAGTTCGCATGTTCGTCCAGAAAATCCTATATTTCCTGCTTTGATGAAAGATAAGTAAAAATGACTCTACAATCCTTTCTATGA